CTGTCCAATCCAATGAGGGCCTGAATAGAACAAAAGGCAGAGGAAGAAGGAATTGTCTCCCCTTTTTTTTCCCTTCCTGCCTGCTTGCTTGGGCTGGAACATTGGTCTTCTCCTGCCTTTGGACTGGGATTTATACCATTGGTTTCCCTGGTTCTCAGGTCTTCAGACTTGGGTTGGAATTACACCACCACTTTCCTGGACCTCCAGCTTGTAGATGGCAGTCTGTGGGACTTCTCAGCCTCCACTGTCAAGAGAATTAATTCTTCATAATCAATCAATCAATCAATCAATTAATTCTCTCCCAATATCTATATCTATCTACCTACCTCTCTCCTTACCCTGTCTCCTGGGGAACCCTAATACAATAGCGAATTCCGAAATCTGAAAATAGCTTATTTCACTGGTTTTAAGATTCATTTCTCCACACATTTTAATTTCTCTGAAATCAGGATGTACCTAACAATCCACGGCATCTTACAATTTTGTTTTTGGTGATAGATAAAGTAAAGGTAAAGCTTAAAGCACCCTAAACTGAATGAAGTTCACACTTTGGGACCCCTTGTTTGCATGGGTCTCTTTCAAGACCTTATATTTCATTTGTATTTGTAATCTTGTGTTCAATCTCTTAGAATGGGTCCCCTGAATGGTATGAGCTTCAGGCCCTACATACCTGCATCCGTCTCGAATATATTTAATGTATTTTTAGAAGATTGGTAATTCAGTAGGTTGATGATTAGTATTTAAGGAGGATGAGGGAAGGGGAACAGGGATGAGTGGTGAGAGATTGGAGACAGGATCTAATTTCAGTGAATGACAGCTACATACATTCATCTGGTGGAAGAAGCCAGAAACTTCACCTCCTGCCCCTCTTATGCCCAATCCAACATTACTTCCTGTGTACTTCTCTTATGATAGAGATTCCTAGTTCTCCTTCAACTCCATTTTCTCCTATAAGTAATAGATCCCTCTAATTTTAGCTGAATACTCTGAAAAAGACAATTTTTTAGCTTCCCTTTCAGTTACATGTGGACATGAGGCTTAGTTTTGGCCAATGAAATATCCTTATAGTTCCTTAAATTGAAGTGGAGTCTCATTCTCCCCTTCTTTTTCCTCCCTCCTGCTAGCAAGAATATGCACGTGATGGCTGGAGCTGCAGCAGGCATCTTGGACCATGAGGTGACCTTAGGAAATGGAACTAAAGCAAAATAGAAGCCTGGGTTCCTTGCACCGTGGAGTACTATATCAGTCCTGCATTACCTACCTCTGGACTTTCACTTGAAAAAGAAATAAACAATCTCAAGTAAGATCTTGTTATTAGTATTATTTTTTTGTCACTCAGTTAAAATAATTTCTTATTAATAATCCATTTCACTGCAAGTCTTCATCATTATCCTAATCAGAGTAACCGATATTTCTTCCCTGGAATTTTAAAAGAATCTTTTAATTGATATCCCCATATTTACTCATATCCATCCCAGCCTCCTACCAATGAGTTTTCTACACAATAGCCAAAGTGATTGATTCAATATACAAACCAAATGTCATTCCCTGTATTAGTCTGCCTGAGCTGCCATAACAATATCACAGACTGGGTGGCTAAAACAAAATAATTTTCTCACAGTTTTGGAGGCTAGAAGTCCAAGATCAAGGTGCCAGCAGGCTCCCCTGATTTGCAGATAGCTGCCTTCTCACTGTGTCCTTGCATGGCCCCTTCTCTGTATGCACATGCTTAGAGAGCAATGTCTATCCCTTTTTAAATTTTTCATAGGGACACCAGTCCTATTGGATTAGGATTCCACCCTATGACTTCACTTGAAGGCCCCACCTCCAAATACAGGCACATTGGGGGTTAGAGCCTCAACACATGAATTTTGAGGGACACAGTTCAGCCCATGACACTCCCCTTCTTCAATCATATCCATGGCTACTCATTGCTCTTAGAGTAAAGTTGAGTAGTTAAAATGGCAAGACTCCTGGATGGTCTGGGCCCTACCTAACTCTCCATTTTCATTTCACAGTGTGCTCTTCCTCACTCTCCGTGTTTTAGTCACATTGGCCTTCCATTTTCTCAGGTATGCTATGATTTCTCCCACCTGGGGGCCATTGCACATGCTGTAGCTTCTGTCCTATACGCTCTTTCTCCACCCATGTCCCTTTGCTTGGTAAACCTCTCTCCATCAGCAGTCAGTTTAATAATCTGTTCTTCGGAGAAGCTTTCCTTGGTCAACCTTATATTTCCCCACTCCCCTATTATTGGCTTTCATAGCTCCATGTAGCTCTTTTTAACAGCACTTATCATAATTTTGCCTTTATATTTTATTCAAGATTCTTTGGCTAATGTTTTTTCCTTTCCATTAGATAATAAACTCTATGGGAACAGAGACATATCACTTTTGGCTTATTTTTGTATCCTGAATGTCTTCTACAGTGTCTGAAACCTATCTGACACTTGTGAAACAGCCTCCAAATGAGTAAGAGGTAACTGGGCATCAGGTCACGTAGAGGTGAGTATGTCAAACAAGTAACTGGGGACTTCAGTCTCAAGCATACAGAGCATGGCAATCAAGGATTTCCAGTGGTGGAGTGAAATAAGATCTGTCTTTAAAAGAATCTGTGCTGGAAGTAAAATGACAAGTTTCAATGGTTGTAGCAGATATCGAGGTGGGAAATAAGGACTTGAGTTAAATTTGTTAGTATCTGCTCTTTTTGCGAATTCTTTGGTGTAAATCAGGTTGGGTCTCAGTTTTCCCCCGCTGCTGATTTGGGATTTGGCTTTCATGGCCTGGTTAGTGAATCATCCTTGTTCATCTGTTTTCCGTCTTCCAATATGTTGCTACTATTATTTTATTTCCTGTTCTTCCGGTTTTTGTTATTTTATTTTTTTCTTTTTGTTCAAAATATTACAGATGTTCCTTTTTTTCCCCATTGACCCCTTCCACCCTACCCTACCCCCTCCCCACACCATTGCCGCTTCCTTGGGCTGTGCATATATGCATATAAATTCTTTGGTTAATCTCTCCCCCTCTCCCCACCCACCCCCCTCTATCCCTCTGAGATTTGTCAGTCTGATCTATGCTTCTATGTCATTGAATCTACTCTGTTCATCAGTTTATTAAGTTCTTTAGATTCCACATATAAGTGAGAGCATGTGATGTTTTTTCTCTGCCTGGCTTATTTCTGTTGATTTATTTTTAAAATCCTTTTACTGTAGTTTTAGCAGAATTTTGGGAGAGTGCAAAATTATAGGCATATGATCACTATAACACTTTAACTTGGAACTCCCTATGTTTTTGTTTTCATTATGAAAATTCTTTATTGTTTATGGCAATAAAATTGCTTTTCACAATGGCCTAAATAAATTTTTGTTAAGTGACACTATCAAGTGGTGGCAAAACTGAGGATGAAAGGGTGGAAGTGTAAATGGATGCATTTCTGGAGAGCAGTGTTTTTCCAAAGGCTTAAAATGTTCATACTTTTTGAACCAAAAGATCCACCTCTAGGAATTTATCCCAAAGAAATGAAATCGCTTTAAAAAGTGTTCATTACAGTGTTACTTATAATAAAAAAATTGTCTGACAATTGGGGGCTGATTAAGTTATCTGCTTTCAGAAATCATGCATGTAGTCACTCAAAATGATGTTGAACCAAGCTTCTCGCACAGCACTACTCCAGAGAACACCGAGCACATGGCCACTTGCCAAGGGATGTGTGAAGCCATAGAACAAATACACCTCGTTTTCTGCAGCGCTGACGTTATTGGCGATTTGGGAATGTGGAATGACCGACCACTAGCCGTCTATCCCAAGGTGCTTTGTTCCTTTCTTCCTTGGTAACCCCACTCCCCACCCCCGCCCGTGTTGTATCAGGGATGTTGCTGCTCAGAATGGAAGACTAAGTTTCCCAGCTCCGTGGTAGCTAGGTGTGGTCTTAGGATTAAATGCAAATTGATTGATAAAATGTCGATGGAAGTGTTGTGAGAGACTTGCTGGGAGGCTAACCTGATGGAGTTGACTGAATGGGAATGAAGAAAAAAGGTGTACTGAAACTTCTGCTCAGGTTTTTTTTTTTTTTTAAGTATAAATATATATATATACACACACACACATACCTACACATGATACATATTTAAAATTCTCATTAAAGTGAAATTAATTTTAAAAGTTCAAGGAGAGAAAAGAGAGGAAAGAAGGGATGTGGGAGGGCAGGTGACTTATTTCTATGAGCATCTTTTTTTTTTTTTTTTTAATATATCTTTATTGTTTTCAGAGAGAGGAAGGGAGAGGGAGAGAGAGAGATAGAAACATCAATGATGAGAGAACCAATCAGCCCGCACCCCGGGCATGTGCCCTGACCAGAATCGAGCCCTGCTCGCCAGGATCCTAGGTGATGCTCCACCGCCGAGCCACGCCCACTGGGCTTCCACGAGCATCTTGATTCGCAGTGCTCGTTTTCCTCTTCCATTAAACCCACCTCGAAAAGGCCGACGAGGCTCGTAAAGGCTGCCTGCGAGGCCCCTCCTGGTGCCGTGTCCCGCGCCTAAGCGTGGGCTTTCTAGGGAAAACAAGCGCAGGCATGGGGCCGTTTCACTTCGTAGAACCCAACATGCCGGCCTTCCGCCTCCCAAATTTGCCTCGGATCTCATACGCAACGTTTCAGGATTTAGGCTCCGTTACGTCGATTTCGGACCGTGCTTCTCTCAGCGGCATCAGAAAACCTTCCCTGAGTCTCGGACAACACGGAGCTGGCCCCAGGATCTAGTTAGAATTTGCCGCAGAAAAGCTGGGACGGCTGGGGCCGAGGGGCGGAGAAAACGCTCGCTGGGAACCAATCCCCTGGGTCGGGGCGGGGCGAGTCAGGGCCACGCCCCCCGCGAAGCCAATCGCTCGTGATGGGAGCGGGAGGGGCGGGGCGAGCCCTGCAGGCGACGTCGTGATTGGCACGCCCGCTCCCGCAGCCCGGGAGGCTGACCCGACGTCCAGTTTACCAGAACCCCAGGCAAGTGCGGATGTGCGAAGTTTGTCCGCTGCGGGGCTCCGTAGTAGCTTTAACCCGGGCGGAGCGGGATGAGCGGGGCTGGGCGCAGGAGCCCCGTCCCGCTTAGGAGACCCGATGGCTGCGGTGTTTCTAGTAACGCTGTACGAATACTCGCCGCTTTTCTACATCGCGGTGGTCTTCACCTGCTTCATCGTGACCACCGGCCTGGTATTGGGATGGTAAGTGCCCCAGAGCTAGGAGCAAGGGAAGGAGGGGCGGACAGCCCGGGAGCGGGGTCGCGGCGAACCGCGGGGGGCCTCGGCGCCGGGGGGCTCGGCGCTGGAGCGCCTGGGGCTGTCGGGGAGGCGGTGCCGAGGGCTCCTACTGGCTCCGCGAGGTAAACCAGGTGGACACCGCACCTGCGTGACTGCCCCGCCTTGCCGCCCGGCCCCCGGCGCTGCGGGCGGGCGGCGG